AAAAAAAAAAAAAAAAAAAAAAAAGGCAATTTATCCTTTATAAATAGCTGTAAGTTCTGTTGATGAAGCACAGTTTATTAATAGCAGTGGTACCTTCTCACTTCTGCCATTAAAAAAATAATTGTAAATTCACAAGTGTCAGTCAAATGAGCAAGTGGCTGTGGGGGAAATAAAGCAGAGGAGGAGCATCACGTCTGGTTACATATTAGGGCTCCACTGCCACAAGAGGGAAGCCAATACTAATAAAAAACCCTTTATTTGTGCATGAACTATGGTTACTGTGGAGGGTTTATCCATTTCAAGGGTGTTTGTCTTCTTCTCTTTCCCTGCAGCAAACTCGCATTTGCTCCTGTGTCAAAGACTGAAGGACATTCCTCCACATTCCCTTTGCTCAACGCCCTGTGAAATGAATTCCATGGATTTGCCTCTTTGAATGGCAAATCCATAAACCCGAAACAGAAAGTCGGGACAGAACCAAGCTGGTTGTTTCCTCAGTGGGTTTGAACAGTCCAGGGAAAGGGGAAGTTTGGTGGACGTGGTGCTTGAAAAAAAAGAGATGGTGTTTTCCCTCCTTTGGGGCAGAAATTAAGGACTTTTCTAGGACTCACAGATACAACTGTTTTTAGTGGCTCTTACCCCACAGTAATGACAAATTAATCCAGCAGATCTTCTGACTCTTAGCCTGGTTTACAGTGTGTGTGAAGTCCTTTCTCTATGGATTTATTGGTCAGGGCAAACCTGATCTCAGCCACTCTGCTGCAAACCACCGAGTCTGGGAACTTCTCTGAGTCATTTCTCTTGCAGGAAGGTACCTGGCAAAAGTCACCCTTGCTCACATCATGTGTTGAAGGCACAAACCTGGTGGGTCGAGATTTCTTATGTTTTCATTTTGCAGCCAGACATTATAACTATATGTGCTGGGGCTTTTGAGAAATGTCAGGATAAAGTGGTGAAAGAAGTGATTTTTAAAATAATCTGGTTGTAACAGAGAAACTGAATGGGATTCATCCACCAGATTTCTCTGGTGGGCTTTTTCCTGGTCTGTTTTCTAGGTTGCTGCAAGACACAAAGATATGAAAGTCACTATTCAGGTTTCTGTAGAGTATTAGGGTTTTTTTTTTTCCCCCTGCAGGAGTGCTCAGGCCTTGCAATAAGTGTCCCAGGGAGGTGGTGGAGTCCCTGTGTCTGGGAGTGTTCCAGAGGTGTCTGGATGTGCCCCTTGGGGACATGGATTAGGGGTGATCCTGGTGGTGCTGGGTGAGGGTGGCACTGGATGAACTTGAATTTCCCTTCCAACCTTGACCCTGTGATGGCTGACATAGGACACTGGTTGGGGGTCATAATTCTTGGTGTTTGGAAGGGATTTTTGAGGAATGGCAGAAATGGGAAGTGAGGAGCAATGCAGAAACCCCACCTATGCAGAGGTTTCCTATGAAGACCCCGAGGGTGTTCCCTGGAAGTGCAGACAAGGAATCAGGGCAAGGTTGGGAAAGCCACAGCCGTGGATTGCAGTCCCCAAAGGACATTTGCGTAACAAGCTGATTTGTTCCAATTTTTTTTCCAAATACTTTAGCAACATTTTGGGTATTTTGTTCTCCTCCCCTTTGCAGGAGGCAGACCTTAAACTGCTGTCCTAAAGGTGCTGCTGGTTTTAGAGGAATTGCCAAGCTGAGAGGGGGGAAACAGAGCTGGAAGTCTTTGTCCCCCAGGGCACCTTTCAGAGCCCTCTCAGCACGTTGTTGTTCAGGTGTTCCCACTCTCCTTTCCTCTCTCCTTTCCCCCAGATGCCACTTCAGGCCCCAGTGTGTGTGTGCATGTGTTTAACTCCGGGGACATGAGCGGTCACACTCCTGCCGGTGGGAATATCCACATGACCAAACCCAGGCACTTGCACGGGGATTTCCTGCGTGAAGGGCACCAAAGGAAACGGCCAGGTTAAAAATAATGGCTTGGTTTGGGCCCTGATGTAATGCCTGTGACACCAGTGGAATTGTACAGGGCTGAAAGGGATCCAACCCGTTGGAAGGGCTCTCTCCAAGCCCCTCACCTGCCACTTTCCGTGTCTGTGTTTATGGTGGGATCAAAGTCAATCCTCCTTTCCCTGGGGAATTGCTTTGTGTCCTTCAGGATCTCCCCAGGCCTCAGGTGTGCAGAGCTTCAGTGTCCACGGAGCTTCACCAGTTCCCCGTGCCCCTCTTGCCTCAGGGTGGCAAACAGGGCAGCTCTTGCCTGTCCTGCCACTTCCCTGCTCCTGTAAAATCCTGGGACACTCTTTGGCCTCGTCAGGGGCTGCTGGTCTGGGGGTGAGAGCCCCTCTTGTCTTGGGTGGGGCCTTGATTGTTCTCTTTGCCTCCTGCACCAACTCTGCCTTGTTTTGTGTGGGTACAAACCAGCTGGGAGGGAAACACTAAAGAAAAGGAGGTTATAAGGCTTAGAAGAAACCCCTCTGAAAAATGTTCCTCCCTCCTTTCTGTGGCTGTCCTGCCTACTATGTGTTTTTTTTTTTTTGGAGTCCCCTGTGAAGTTCTGACCTGAGTGAGACCTGTGTGAGGCCAAACTCCCACAGCAGCCAGACTTCTGTGCATCTCACCCGTGGTTTCCTACAGATCCCCCCGAGTGTGTCCCACACCCGCTCACCCCAGTTCCCACTGACACGGGACAGACCTCTCTGAACATCAAAAGTTAGGGAGTCAGGAGAGAGTGTGGGGGGGAAACCCACCCCAAAACACACCCCTGAACAAAGAAGCTCCTGCGTGCAGGGCTCCTGCCTGCCCCTGACAGGATCTATCTTTAGTTGTGACGTGAGTCACACCATTGTGATCTGACTTTACGGTTAGTTTGAGGTATGAGCCAGGCCATGGGACTGCGAGCGAGAGCAGGAGCATCATGGGATGGAGCTGTAAAATTCCACTACTCGCTACTCTCTAAATCAGGTTTGAAGAGCATTAAGAAACAGGAAGCGTGGGGGGGGTGGGGGGAGGTATTTTTTTTTTCCCCAGTGGAAAATTATCGGAGCATCGCGATGTCGGCGCGGGGAGAACGACGGGGAATCGCGTATGGGCGACGGGAGAGGGAGGAATAGTCTGGAGCAGAGACACCTCTGTGTGCCCAGAGTCACGTCTGTCCCACCCCACCAGCCACTACAAGGCAGGATTTTCTTGGATGGTGCTGTGTTGCTAAGCAACATCGCCAGGCAGCATCTCTGCATCACGCACAGCCCGGCTATGGTGGGGCAGCGGCGCCGCTTCCAGGGATTTTTCCCTGCTAGAAAATATTCATTCTTCTGCTCACCCAGGAGGGTGAGGGAGCTGCCTCCCGGGTGGGCATGTGCAGCTCCCGTGGGCTGGGATGGCAATCACGTGCAACCCGAGCCCCGGGCATGCAGAGTGTGGGCGTGATTCCCGAGATACAAACACCTGCCGTGCCCGAGGTGGGATAAAGGTTGGCTTGAACATAAATAACCAATGAGGCAGTGCTGGGATGTGACAAACAGAACAGACCCACTACAATTGGCTCTATCCCAGAATCTCAGAGGTTGGAAAAGCCCTCCCAGCCCATGGATCCCCCCCGTGCCCCATCCCCACCTTGTCCCCCAGCCCAGAGCACTGAGTGCCACGGCCAGGCCTTCCTGGGACACCTCCAGGGCTGGGCACTCCAAACCTCCCTGGGCAGCCCCTGCCAAGGCCTCACCACCCTTTCCAGCAACAAATTCCTCCTGAGGTGAACACAAAGAAAAGGACATTCACTCAACATTCTGGGATACCTTTGAGGCCCCTCAACACCAGGGGATTGCTGGATGAGAGCTCTTCTCACAAACCACTGGTGGGTTTTTGGACTGAGTGTGATTTCAGTGGATTCCGCCTGCCAAGCCCCCTCCTCAAAATGATTCAATAACCAGCTGCTGCACACACAGCAAAAAAAGAGAAAACCAGTGTTATTGCAGAAGCTGAGGGGTTGTTATAGAAGGAGAACAGAGAGCCTGGTCCCCAGAGCCAACAGAGGAGGTGGAACCTGCACCTCACTCCACGTGTCTTGTCCCAGGGCAAAAGAGGCCTCTGCAAAGGCTCTGCACAGACCAGGGTTTGAATAATTCTGAAATCTCTGCTCCTAAAATGTTCGATTTTTGGACAGATCGTTGCTGATGCTGTCAGCAGGTGGCAAGAAGGGGGGGATGCAGAAGAGCTGACAAAAGGCAGCAGATAGTTTCTGGCATCTGAACGCTGTGTTTTTCCGCTGCGCATCGTGGACAGAGTCATCGTTTGAGCCGAGCAAAGGGGGAAGCAGGAGAGGAAAACCACACTGTCAACACCCACAACGGTCTGGGCCATCAACAGTGCTGCCCCTCGCTCGCACTTGCAGATGGAGTCAGCAAAACAGGGGTTTGTCTGATCACTGGGGAGCAGGAATTTAATTGTAGCTGAGCCCACCCTGTTATCGGCGTCCGGGGGCGCGTGGTGGAACCAGGTAGATCAGGCTTTTCCACAGCAGAGTCTTCACACCACAGGCTCTGGAGGAGCTCAGCCACTGCAGCTCGAGACAGGAACAGTTCTCGTGGTGTTTGGGTGGCACTTGGCCAAGAGCAGAACAAAGGCAGCGACAGAACTTCCATTTGTCACCAACCTGCGGCAGCTCGAGGCGAGGTCGGTGCTCGAGGCTCAGCCCCTCCATCAGGCTCCTCCAGTCTCGTCTGTACATGGGGCCAGTTTAATCCTGGGAGAAGATGTTCAGAATTTGCACTGAGTGCAGTGTATGTGCCAAACACTTTGGAGAGAAATCTGCACATAAAAGACACATAAAATATCCTCCTTCTTGTACCTGTCCTTCGGGCGTGAGTGTCATCCCCGAGCCCTGGTTTTGCAGCCGTTTTGGTCAGCTGAGATAAAAAAAAAGAATAAAAGAGTGTAATCTGTTATTTTTCCTTTTTACCACGAAGGACTTTACTTGGAATGATTGCCCAGCTTTGTTGTTGGATTTTTAGCAAGATATTTCTCCCACAAAAGGCTTTGATGAATGTTGACGGCAGCGCCGGTGAGATGGGAGGGGTATGGAAAAGGTGCAGAATTTCATCAAACCTTTCTGTAACTTCTCTCAGCACCCATCCCTTGACAATGGACGGAGCTGGGAGGGTGGGGAGGCCCTGGCACAGGGTGCCCAGAGAAGCTGTGGCTGCCTCTGGATCCCTGGAAGTGTCCAAGGCCAGGTTGGAGCAACCTGGGCTGGTGGAAGGTGTCCCTGCCCATGGCAGGGGGTTGGAACTGGATGGGCTTTGAGGTCCTTCCCAACCCAAACCATTCTGATTCTTTGATTAATACAACGACCCACCTCAGCCTTTCCCGAGGGCTGAGACTCATCCCAACGAAGTTTAAAGGATAAATCACACCTTCCCTTCCCCAAACGGTGCCAGATACAGAACAGAAAGGAAATTAATGTTAGGCTGGAAAAGAAAATACCCCGAGGCCTTTTCCTCTCTGAGTTTCATGGTAAACACCACTGAGTTCTCAGTGCCATTAATATCTGATTATTACGACTCCTCTTAAGCAGCAGCCCCACCTACTTTGGTCTCT